GAATATCAAACAAGAATCTTGCATCCTCTTGAAATGTAAAAAGAGTCGAGAACGATTGTAAGTTCTACTGTTAACCCGCTTACAATGCAAACAGTTCGGTAAACGACAAGACTGTCATTTGAGAAATAGCGGAACGTTTACTGCATTGAGTAAACTTCTACTTTTTAAAAAGGTGAAAAAAATTACCTGACTATTGTCGCCAGAGTGTCAGTAGTGTTTCCGATAGGAAGCGTAGGATGTGAACGGACAAATTCGAGTGTAGCAGAGCTCAAACTCGATAACATCGGTGTAGGATTGGCAAGAAACAAGGAGATCGAATTAGCCAGTTCAATATCGCTACAAATAATGTCCGATTTAGATAATAAAAAAGGAGAACGGAAAATGCTGGAGAACTTACGATGGGCTAGTATTGAGCAAACCCAGACCGATTCCTCGACGATAATGACTAAAATCATTTTGCAGTGCAGGTGTGCACATCTGTAAAACATCTAATGTAATGCAATTATGATTTGAGCGGCTCAGTTTTTGCCAGAAAAGATTGAAATAACCTTGGCAGCGTCAAAGTCCAACACAAAATCGACAAGACGCGCTAGTTGACGTGCAAGCGACTGTTTCCGATCAAGTTGTTCTTCCGGTGGAAGGGGACCGGAACATAGGTCCCATAATAGCTCTGGGACTAGCTGAAGAGAGAAGCACTTGCATTAAAGTGCAGACAAGACAATAAATGCAAAGAACAATTAAACAATGCAAGTCGAATTGCGAAAGGTGTTTTGTCGCAAGAATTTCTAGTCTTAAAGATGAATTGATTTCTCCGAATTAAAACCGATAATTGGAAACAAAACAAAACCAAAAATATGTAGATCTAGTTGCATTTGCAGAAAGTTTTAGTTAACCTACCTTCTCTATTCGAAGAGAAAGTTCGAAGTAACATCGTATCCGTGCCACAAAATCTTCAACAATGCTCATGGTTACATCTCGGAGAGCTAGATCATGAGGATTTTGTAGAGATTGTCGTATTTCTTCAGTAGCCCCTGAAAAGAAAAACAATCATGTTTCAAGTAATTTTTAAAATGTAATCATAGAAGTGCCATCCACAGGGT